TGCATTCCAGGTTGAAGAATCATAAACTCAACGTGTCTAAAATAGAACTCATTATCTTTCCCCTCAAACCCTCCCCTCTTCTGAACCTCCCTGGCCTTGCCCTCCAGGCTTGGGACTTTGGTGTTTCCCTTGACTCCTCACTCTCATTGGCCCCCGGATCCAACCTGTCTTCAGGGATTATCTTCCCAATCTCCATCGTATGTGTCCCTTTCTCTTGACTTACACCAACACCACTGTGGCACAGGCCCTCATCACTTCACACCCAGACTATTGCAATGGCCTTCTAACTGATCTCCCCACCTCATGTCTTTCATACTCTGTCCATCTTCTTCTTGGCCATCAAATTGATTTTCCTAAAGTGCAGGTCTAACAGTGAGCTGCAGAAGCTCCCCATTACTTCCGGGATCACATATAAAGTCCTCCGTTTGGCATTTAAAACCTTTAATCAGCTGGGCCTTTCCTAGCTTTCTGGTCTTAGACTTTGTTCCCCTCCATAAATTCTGTGATTCACTGACCCAAAGCTTGCCCTTCCTCGTGCTCTCTGGCTGTCCCCTGTGCCTGGAATGCTTTCCTTCCTCACCTCTGTTTCCTGGCTTCCTTCAAGATTCAGCTCAAACACACCTGCAGCAAGAGGCCTTTCCTGGTCCTGACTCTTTAACATCTTTCCCTCTAAAATTACTCTCCAGGGGCAGCTAGGTGGCCCAGTGGATAGACCTCTGGCATTGGAGTCAGGAGGACCTGAGTTCAAATCCGGCCTCAGATACTTGACACTTACTAGCTGTGTGACCCTGGGCAAGTCACTTAACCCCAATTGCCTCACCAAAAAGGAAAAAAAAAATTACTCTCCAGTTATGCTATGTAGATCTTATGTATACCTAGTTATTTATATATTGTTTCCTGATTTGAATGTGAGCTTCTTGAGGGGATGGACTAATTTTGCTTTAATTTTTAAAAATATTTTATTTTTTCCCCAATTACATGTAAAACAATATTAACACTTTTTTTTTTTTTAAAGTTTTGAGTTCCAAATTTTTTCCCTCCCTCCTTCTCCTCCCTCTTCCCTGGGACAGTAAATAATCTGATATAGGTTTGTATGTGTTTTACTTTTCTTTTATCCCTAGCTCTCAACACAGTACCTGGCACCTAATTATGCATGGGGTATAATTATGTACCTAATTATGGCACATAGTAGGTGTCTAATAAATGACTGTGTAGCCCCCTTCTAGCGACCCTGACCTCTACCATGTTGTTTAAACTGGTGCTTCAGTATGCCTTTGGAAGACTGTTCCAGGCCCCTCACTTGCCACCCACACGTCTGAGTCAGCTCACAGTGCTGCAGTGCAGCTGTTCGGGAAAATCTGCTTTGCCATCCACTGCCACATATTCATCTCAGTGAGTCTGTGTGGAAATGATGGTTGCTTTGGAGCTGGTACGGACCAGGGCAGTCCTGCAGTGGACACCCAGCGTGCACCCAAGAGGACCTGAGGTAGAGCCAAGTCCCTGAGCTGCTGGAAAGGGAGACCACTGACTGTGGGAAATAGTTTTCCTAGGATTTGAAGGTCCCCTCCTCCCTTGCCTTATTTCTCATACTTACAGTGAAAGAAAGGTGGCTAATTTAGTAAATGGAGTCATCTGGCTGGAACTGGGAGTCTGGGCATTCTCTAGAGATGAAAAGCACAGGTCCACTAGAGGCAGATCTGACTGCAGCCATTATCCAAGACAATCCCTTTGTTGGAGAGGGCTGCAGACCTTTTCTTCCATTTGGATTTGGGACATCACAAGACCCCAGACTTAGAGCTGGAACAGGACTTCCAGGCCTTGTGGTCTACCTCCCCCTCTTTTTTTTTTTTTAACAAATGAGGAAACTGAGACCTAGGGAATGAAAATGACTTGCCCAAGATCACATAGGTCATAAGTGACAGCAGACGAATTTGAACCCAGGTCTTCTGACTCTACTTTCCACAGTGCTGTGTTGCAAGAGTTTTCACAAAAGTCTTTTGATGTTTCATTGTGGTGTGGAGGTCATAGAATTATAGATTTAGAGCTAAGAGGGTTCTCAGAGATCACCTAGTTCATCCCTTTCCCCATTTTACAGATGAGGAGACTGAGGTCTAGAGCGGTGAAATCAATAAGTTAACAAGAATTTATTAAGTACCTACTATGTGCTGGCACTTGCAAAATGCTGAAGATATGGAGAAGGGTAAATATAGTCCCTGCCCTCAAGGAGCTCGCAGTCTAATGGGGGAGACAGCTATACAAAAAACAACTATGTACAAACAAGCTATAGACAGGATAATTTGGAGGTGATCCCAAGAGAGAAGACTTTAGCATGAAGGGGCATATGAAGGGCTTCTTGTAGAAAGTGGGATAAAATCCCATGCAAAGTAAAATCCCTGGGACTTGCAGGAAGCCAAGAAAGGCTGGAGATGGAGCTGAGGAGAGAGAAAAGTCCAGGCATGAGGGACAGTCAGTGAAAATGCCTGGAGTCAGTGTCATAGGGGACAGAGTCTGTGTCTGCCCTCAAGGAGCTTACAGTTTAATGGGAAAGACAACATGCCAACAGCTATGAACACAAGACACATACAGAGCAAGTGGAAGGCTATCTGACAGGGGAAGGCATTAGCAACTGGGGATGGCAGGAGGCAGAGAGATTTTTGGCATGTCTAGAGTCAGATAGCTAGTATCAAGTGCAGACTATGAACCGAGGTTTTCTTGACTGTGAGGCCAGGACTATGCACCTTGCCTCTCTAAATTTTTAAAAAAGATATGACGCCAATGATCTCTAATTTACAACAGCTAGAATTTAAATGTTTCTTCGATTTTCTCCCCTTCTTCCTTTTCTTAACTTTTTCCATGTAAGGATTAAAATGCCATCCCCCAACACCCCCAAAAAAGATTTTATAGTAACATACAGGTATTTAAATAGAATGGTTTAAGGGGAAAGTCTGTCTTTACCCTGTAGTCAAGTATCCAAGCTAATTGTGCTTTGAACAAATTGGGAGGCTTGACAATGACGATTCCTATGACCTCCTTGGAATTTCCCTGTGGTTCCTCTTAGGGTAGTCCTGAGCCTTAGTTGGAGAAAAACTCCTCTGTAGTAACCATCATTCCTGACTTCAAGGACCTTTTCAGGAATGATCCCAGGAGATTGTATTCTATCCCAAGGCAGTCACGGAATTTGAGAGTTGGAAGGAAGCTCAGTGACCACCTGCTCCAACCCAGACCTGAAAAATGAGTGCAACATAATAATAATAGCTAGCTTTTATATAGCACCTACTATGTGCCAGGCACTGTGCTAAACATTCTACAAAAGTCATCTCTTTTGATTCTCACAACAACCCTAGGAGGCAGATACCATTATTATCCCTATTTTACACTTGAGGAAACTGAGGAAGACAGAGGTCAAGTGACTTATCCAAGGTCACACAGCTAGCAGGTGAGTGAAGCCAGATTTGAACTCAGGGCTTCCTGAGACCATTTTTTCCAGGCCCATTTTTCTATCCACTGCATCCCTTAGCTGCCTTCCCAATAAATAATCAGCCCCTTTTTGAAGACCTCTACGAAGGGGCATCCCTGCTATTTTCAGAAGCAGTCACCCTTAGGGATAGTGATTATTGTTAGGATCTTAAGCCTAATCTTACTCTTTGCAGCTACCCTGCACCTCCCCCCAACCCCAGTCACAGGCCTGAAGGTCCCCAAGAAGCCGCATTAGTTCGCAAGGGTTTATAGTTGTTGTTTCTGGAGCAACCCTAGGGTTTGCAGAGAAGGGTACATTAGACCAGATCCATTTTCACCCAATACTTCCCAGGCCCAATTCACTGAGAGTCAGGGAGGCTCTTGGCCCATGCATGTTTCCAGATGCTCTGGCAAAATTATTATAGGCTTGGCAGTCTCTCTGCGACCTTTCAAATTCCCCATCTGCAAATACTCACATCTGCGTTCCTGTGTGCCTAACTTGGGAGTGAAGTAGTTACCAGGGGAGCCTATCGAGGGGGATAAGATGATTTAACTTCACTTAAATCACAAGCCCAGTAAGGACTGATAGATTTCTGGAAGCCGCTCAAATGTGAGAGAGACTGAAGTGTTTTTCTCTCTCTCTCCCTCTCACATGATGTACTTGATCTCTTCTCCTCTTTCATCTGTCTCTTTCTACCTTTTTTTTCTTCTCTCTCTCTCCCTCTCTTCCCTCCCTCCTGTCTTTTCCTCTCTTCTCCTCTCCTCTCCCTCTCACTTTCTTACCATAGGGATAGATTGATAGAAAAAAAAAGCTGTATTTATCTTTGTGTATGTGAGGTGGGGGGAATGGAGAGAGGATGAGAGAGGGAAAGGAGGGAGAAGGAAGAGGGAGGAAAGGAGGAGAGAGAAAGAGAGAGGGGGGAGGAGACAGAGGGGAGAGAGAGAAGAGGAGAGGGGAGAAAAAGAAAGGGGGAGGGAGGGGGAGAGACAGAAAGAGGGAGACAGACAGACAGACAGAGACAGAAAGACACAGAGAGACAGAGAGAGAGGAAGGAAGGAGGGAGGGAGAGAGAGAGGAGAGAGACAGAGAGAGACAGAGAGCAGAGACAGAGGAGGGGAGAAAGAGAAGGGGGAAGGAGGGAGGGAGAGAGGAGAGAGAGAGAGAGAGAGAGAGGGAAAGGAGGGAGGGAGAGAGAGAAGAGAGACAGAAACAGAAAGATAGATAGAGAGGAGAGAAAGAGAGAAGAAATCCATGTTTGAATTGTTTTATCAATGATTCATTTATCATAAGAGGGAAAGGGTTGGCAATGGGAGCTATTGACATTGGAATTGCTAAAACTCGTTTTAAGAATAGCCATCCGCTTTGCTCATTTGAGCTAAGAGCTCCCATCTCCTCTCTGAGGAGCTTTGGCTGGGGAGGGAGGCCTTTTCCAGCTCCAGCCTGGTGCAGCGGTTGTCATGTTCCAGGCTGCTCTCTGATTAAATGCATGACATCATCTATGAAAGAGAGCGAGGCTCAAATCCCACCTTCCTGTTCTCCACAGTGGTGCTTAATCAAACAGGAAGCATATAAAGTGAGCATGGCGTCATCCTTGTACTTCGCGGGGCTGCTCATTGGAAACATCACCTTTGGCCCATTATCAGATAAATTGGGCAGGAAGCCAGTGTATTTGACAGGTAAGAGACTCAAAGTAGTTTCTCTTTTTCTGAAATGTCCTTCCCAGGGAGCAACCAGTCGGCGGATTTGATAAGAAATGTGAACATGTGAATGAATAAATCAGTGAATAAAAAGACTTTTATTGGGTGCTTATTATGTACCTGACACCATGCTTGCTGCCATGTCCCTAATGGCTCTCCTAATGAAGCTGGGGAGAGGGGAACCGAAGGACATAAGGTTCAGAGTAAGCCCCTAGTCCAATCTGGGGTTCCATTAGAGAAACAAGGCGTCCTCCGCAGGACACAGGGTTCATGTTCCCAGTCTTCGCTTTCTACATTTCTTAACATAAATCTTGCGAGATTGGTGTGGCTACTGGGAGTTTTAGACCTCTGTCTTAAGGTTTATAAGCTTAGGGAGTCCTGACATAATGCCAGAGATTAGGTGTGTCAAGGAAAATTCCTGCAAGATGCTCTAGGTCCAGTGCTTCAGAAACCATGGAAACAGGAATCAGATAAAGGCAAAAGAAAAGATCCTGCTCTTTCATCCTTGGGAGGAGAATGGTATCAGGAAGTTTGATCACACAGAAGTTATTATAGGGGGAAAATCGGGTTGAGGTGATCTTCTCTTTCCTTAACCCTTTGTCAGGGGGTCTCACCGAGGGAGGAGTGTTTCTGGCCAAGGAGGAGTACCTTTGGTTGATGATAACGGGGTATAGGATCTCTGGTCCTGATATGCTAGTTATGCAAGCCTAAGGTGGGGGGGAAGGACCCCAGCAGTGAAGGACTTGTTGTTAGGCCTGTTGCACAGGGCACTGCAGAGTAGCTAGGCCAAAGGTCACTACAAAATACAGACAAGCAAGATAGTCTCTAGCCTCAAGAGCTTATATTCTAACAGAAGAAGAAAGCTCATATGAGGGAGTGGTCACTGAAGTGTTTTGGGACAGGGTTGAGACATAGGACAAATGATTGACACATCTTTTCCAGCACTGGTCCCCTGTCCGAGCTGGAGCTGGAAGTGGGAGAAGGGCACACAGGTATATCACACGGGCTGGCTGAGGATGGGCCTAGGCCTGGGCCAGATAAGGAGAATGCTCATGACTCATGTTAAATTTGTGGTCCTCTGAAACACCCAGATCTTTTATCAATCACTATCTAGTCAGAGCCTGCCCATCTTGAACTTGTGAAGCTTTTTAAAAAAAAAAAAAAAAATCCTAGTGTATTCCAAAAGACCCATGTTGGGAAATACTATCCACATCCAGAGAAAAAACCGGAGTCTGAATGCAATCAAAGCAGACTATTTTTTGGTGGTTTTTTCCTTTTGTTCTCTTCCTTCTTTCACCACATGACTAATATGGAAATGTTTGCATGAGTGCACATACATGATCAAATCTAATTGCTTACCATCTTAGGGAGGAGGGAGGGGAAAAATTTGGAACTCAAAATTTTATTTAAAACATGGGTGCTAAAAATTGTGTTTGCATGTTATTGGAAAAAACACTATTTAAAATGGAATAAAAATAAAAACCCAAGTGTAGAAGCTTAGCTGGAGGAGGAAATGGTAAATCCCTCTAGTATCTTTGCCAAGAAAACTCCAAATGGGGTCATGAGGAGTCAGACACAACTGAGCAACAACAACAACAGAATCTTCGGTTTATTTTTAACTAAATTTCGTTGTATTTGGCTGGACCCAACGTTCTAGCCTGTTGAGTTTTTTTTGGACATTGTCATCCACTATTAGATGTGACCATTATCTATCTCGATGATGTCATTGGTCAGTGGCTGACTCTAGATCACCTTAATCAGTGAATGGGAGATCCAATTCATCATCATTTGCTAATTAGAAGGTGTCATTCCCTTGTTCAAATACTATAATCATGTTTCTTCTGTCAGAAGGAATTGATAGGACCTTTGAATGTTTAATTAGGTGTTACAAGTGAGCCACTCTAGTCAGTAGCAACTATCATCATTGACTTCCTATCATGATATTAGGAGAACCAATTTCCTCCCAACGCCCTCAAGAATTTTTTGGGGGGTGAGAAGATAAGGGAGAGAAAAGGGGACAAAATGTTGCTGTCTGAAAAAATTTGTACAGAATGACCTTAAAAACAGTTTCAGGGTTTCCTCCTGAAATCCTAATAGTTTGGCTTGTTTTGAAATGTCTATTTATACATATAAACCATGATGTCATCTGGCCATCCCATCCTTCTCTTTACTTCCAAACCTTTAATGACTGTTGAGTGTTGGCACCTTCATAAACCAAGTGATTTGGGATGTGGGGATTTTCATTAGCTCATCACCGGAAAGGAAAGTAATAAAATGTGGATTTACATTCACTCAGACTGTAAGTCACTTCCCACCGATAGACTCAGAATGTCATTGCAGGGCATCTCCATTTCTGGGTCAGGAATGGCAACCGATGCAGTTGCTTCTGTTCTTAACCGGGATGAATCAGGGGCTGGACTCCTTGTGTTAAAGTGCTTGAGGTAGCTTAAATCCCAAATTTCACAGTGCCCAAATGGGTATAGTTTTACTATCTTTACTTATCACATGGCCACAGATGCTGTAAGAGATGCCATGGAAATTAAAATCTAATGGACATACGAACCTGTAGCTGACGCTGATATGTACATACAAGTGTCTTCTTCAGGTCATCAGTGGTTCTTTGGTCTCAGCTATGTGTATATTCCTTTCACCAGTGCTGATGGAGGTCCTGACCAACTGCTGCCTGTGTTCTCCCCTAGATTCTCCATGCAAGAGCCACCTAACATGCTAAAAGTCTTCCCTAGGGGTTTTTATCTTTTAAGGGTGACAATGGAGTCCTTGGACTGTCCATTTAAGATCCCTCACTCTTGTCCCATGACCACCTAGTCACCTTTTCACTCCTATATCTCTCTTTGGTTTTTGTTTTGTTTTTGTTTTTGCTTTTTGGTGAGGCAGTCGGGGTTAAGTGACTTGCCCAGGGTCACACAGCTAGTAAGTGTCAAGTGTCTGAAGTCGGATCTGAACTCAGGTCCTCCTGACTCTAAGGCTGGAGCTCTATCCCCTGAGCCACCTAGCTGCCCCACCTATATCTCTTTAGTTCTGTCTCTTATGTTTGTTTCTGAATATGTCATCGTTGGAAGTCCATCATATGTCTCTTCATTACCTACACACATGCTCCCACACACATACATACACATGCCTACACCTTCTTGAAGGGAACAGGCTTTTTAGCCTTGCCTTCTACATGAAGCTTTTCTTGATCCCTCCTACTGTTAGTGCCCTTCTTCCCTAATAACCTTGTATTTATTTTGTATTTATTCGTCATCCACTTTTCTATAGGCATCTGTCTTCCCTGATAGAGTGTAATCCCTTTGAAAGCAGGGCCTGTCTCGATTTTGCCTTTGCCCAGCACTCGGCATGTTGGTAGGCATTAAAAAATGCTTATTGCTTATTGATCAAGTTGATTATTCTGCATATTTTTGTTTCCAGTTATATAAATGTCTCAGAGATTTGCATGGGTGATCAGATTACATGGTCCTAGGGAGCAAGGACTGTGCTATACATCCCTTTGATATAATTGAGTATTGAATGAGTCCAACTGGATGATTCATTTCAAGCTAGAAGGTACCTCAGAGTTCAGCCTCCTCATTTTACAGATGAGGACGCTGGGGCCCAGAGAGGTGAAGGGACCATCCTATGGTCACATAGGTAGTAAGTCAATAGCAGAGCTGGAATTCGAACCCAGGTCCCCTCATTCCAAACCCAGCTCTCTTTTCACTGTGTTGACATTGTTGCTTTTGGTTGTCTATATGAAGCAGAATCTCAGAGGTCGAAGGGACCTCCAAGGCCATCCGTACAACTTGTCACATTGAAACCCCCCCCCCGCCCCCCACTCAATAAATAAATCAGCAAGTATTTATTTAATACTTGGGGATGCAGATACAAGAAATGGGATAATTCTAATTCTCAAGGGGCTCTATTTGGCTGGGGGTGGGGAGACCACATATACGTGTAAATTAGGGGGTAATCAAATAAATACAAGATAGAGAGGGAGGGTGATAGCAGTGTTCAGGGGATCAGGAAGGTTTCTCTATAGAAGGTGATTCCCGAGGTGTTACCAAGTAGCTACTGTGCTGCCTTAGGGCTGATGAAACCCTTCTCCTAGAATAATCTACTAAACTGTTATTCTCCAATAACACTTTTGCTGTTGAGAAATCATAAACAGTGTGGTATCATCAAAGCAGTTGGAGTCAGAGGAATTAGGGTCAAAACCCAACCTCTCCTTAATACTGTCATAACCTTTGGCAGATCACTCCATCTCTCTGGGCCTCGGTTTCTTCATCTGTAAAATGATGGAGATGGACCAGTCGCCTTCTAATGTCCCTTCCATCTTTAATTCTCTGAACCTAATGGGTTCATCGAACCTGTCATTGTACCCAAAGGGTATAAAATACCATCCTTGTACCAACTACATGACCTTTAGGGTCCCTTACAGATTTAAATCTATGATCCTGAAAGCGTGTTTAATTAATTAGATTCCATAGGAGCTTGAGGTACATCGAAAGCTGAACCTTGGATAAACACTGTCATCTCCCTCAGTAATCTATTCAGGCTAAACATCTGAAGTTCCTTCAATCACTCCTTCTATGACATGGGTTGAAGACCCTTCACTATGTTGGTAGCCTTCCTCTGCACGCTCTCCTGCCTGCCAATGGCCTTCTTAGATTGTGACCCACAGAGCTGAACCCAGTGACTCAGATGTGGTCTGACCAGGGCAGAGGGTTGAGAAATGATGGCCTCCCCAGCTCCGGGCATCAAAATGATCTTGAGGAAACCCAAGATCACGTTAACCTTTTTGACTGCTGTATCCCACTGTTGACTCCTAGTGAACTTACAATCCATTGTTAGAGGGAAGAAAGCAACGGAACTTGCTTGAATATTAGATGTGAAAATGCCAGATGTGCCCAAGTTGCCTGTTTTTTAGGCCTTTTAGATGTGGGGGCTGAAATGTCCTGTGGTTTTCCACATGCTTCCCCCGA